TTTTCTTATTTTATATTCTATTAAAAGAATTCCAATGTCTGATAAATATAAAATTCATAAAGCATTCGAGAGACAAATACAATCATTGGATGGTACAAATATTTTTAATTATTTTAAAGAATTAAAAATAAAAACTACACATGCTCATGAAGGAGATGTAAGTTTTTTAATTGAAATATTCAAACAAATGAAAGAAAAATAATTTAAATTTAATTAATAGGTTATTTTATTACCAAATCATGGATTAAAAATTCCAGCAAAAGTTCTTATCTTTTTTATTGCTCCACGTATATCAAAAGATGAAGCTATAAAAGATAAATCAGTGATTGATGCATTTCAACCAATATATGAAAAATTAATTTATGATGCTTTACAAACTATTGAGCAAAATAATATAACAAGTATTGCAATGCCTCTTCTTGAACCACATGGTAAATACTGAAATTGATATATAATATTTTTTTTTTTTGTTTCTAATAATATTTAAGTTTTTTCTTTTTTCTAGTTAAAATTGGCTCTGAAAGACGTTATGCTAATGAAATGACTTTTCGCGCAATGATTAGTGCTATTCGACAATATTCTCAAAATTCATCAATTACATTAAAACGAATTATAATTGTTGATCATCAAATACAAATAAAACGTATGAGTAAACGTGTGGAAAAATATCAAAAACAACTTCAAAAACCAATATCACATAATAATAATAATAATATTGATCTTAATACAGGTGATAGACATTCATTTGCGTATATATTTGGTGTACCAAAAATATCAGAAGTAACATCAAGTGCAAGTGATACTGATGATGATATTGAACCAGAAGATTATCAACTTCCTTATAAACATCATTCAATAATTTAATTAGAAAAAAAAAAATATTTAAATATTTTATTAAAGAAGATTATTAATGTTCTCGAATTTTTGATTGGCAATTCAATTAATAGATTGTAAAGAAGAAAATAAAAAAACATATCTTCTTTGATTAATAAATATATATTGAGTACTAAGAAGAATATTTGATTATATGACAAAAGGACATGTTTGATTTGATAGATCGTTAATTTTGAATAGAAAATAATACAAAACAATATGTCATATCTCATATCCGAAAAATCATGATTGCTTAACAATTTGATGGAAATTATTTTCAAAAGAAGAACAGCATACTTGATATAAGTACGTCGAAGTACTATTGAATAGTTTTCCAAAGGAAAACACAATATGGTTATGTGTTTTATAAATATAAGGTAGGTTATGTACCCGTCAAAATTATTTTCTTTTTATGTAATATTATGATCATCGTAGGTACAAACTTCGCCGCAAGAAAGAAAAATTTTCTCAACGAATAGATATTTTTGATAAGTTTTCCCTATTGTCAAACTATAATAAATCATTTTATAAGATCTATATGTTAAATAGAAAACCAAGAGAACAATAAGATTAGTATGAACGCTAAATAATGCTATACAAAAAAAAGAAATAAATTAGTTTCATCAATCATCGAATAATATTGATAGTCTTAGTCATTCTAGAAATGTTTTATTATAACGAAAACCAGAATTTAATTGTTTTCATGTTAGATATTATTCACTTTTCTTATAAATTAGAACTAATTGCCTAAAACTATCGGAAAAAACCACCAAGAGTGAGATGAAGAGTTGACTGTAAAGATAAAAGTGATGGATTAGCTGGATAACAAAGTTTTCTCACTTGTTATCTTGCCTTCAACAATTCCATCACAGCTTGTGGCTAACAGTTTGCTATATGTACTAGGAAAAATAAGACAAAGGTTAACCTAATAAACATAACAAAGTATAACAAAACGTAATATAGAATATACGGATGTTGAACGAGAAATTCATTAAATAGTGAAAAAAAGTAAAACAAAAATCAGTTGGATTGCTCTCTATTGAGAAATTAATTATACAATTTGTTAATGAATTTTGTATTCTAATTATTACGAAATAAAAACTTTATTAAGTAATTTTCTACATTGAAAAGCTATCATGTAGATAATAATTTTTTTGTAAAACTTTCATCTATGTGCTTGGATGCAGATAAAGAAATTCTCCAGATTGGATGATCATCAACAGTAATTACAAGAACTTCCGCTATCGAATAAAAAACGCATAGACTTTAACCTTTTTGTTTGATATTTTGCCTAGAAATAGAGTTCGATAAACTCTGCTTGGAAGCGGCAAATAAAGCTCGATAGATCTAAATGCAAACGATTTATGACGAAAACATTGGATTTATTCGTAGGATTTAAAAAAAAGCTTTTTTTTTTGATATTTTTCTGATTTTCCATTATTTAAATTTATTAATCTCCATTTTCTTATTAACAAAGAAAAATTTGCGTGTCTATATTTTGTCCCAAATAGGGTATTTCAATCCGCTGTAATCAACTGGATTAGAGCAGAAACGTTCACTAGAAAAAAATTCAAAGCTAAAGATGATATCAATCAGTTGTCGTCGATTTTCATCAAGTCTCATTTAAAATTTACTTTATAAATCAGACAAATTAAAGACATGTTATATGAAAATTTTTATTAATGATAGAGGTACTACTTAGTTGTCGAATGTTTTTGAGATTTGTTTTCTATGTTAAAATATCCTTGTTTGAAGATAAAAATTTTGTGTTAATCTTCTAGTTCTTTCACATGAAGACGAATCAAATCCTTACGATTAGAATTCGAAATTCTCTATTCGTGATCAAATTAAAAGATTTAATGATTAAAGTTTAAATATTTCTTATCTAATAGCTGAAATTTTTGCATTTACTATATTCATTTTTCTAAATGTAAAATAGCATGAATATATGAGTAAATTTACAATTACTTTCAAAGAATAATTCATATATAAAAAGAATTAATATATTTTTATGCCTTTCTATGGGCACTATTATCGAAAAACTTAAATTAGATCCAATGCAAGAGACATGAATAATTTGTCATTCATGATTTATATATATACAAAAATGTTTAACTTCTTAATGCTTGTAAACGTCGTTCCATTTCATCTTCTTCACTGTCAATATCAACTGCAGCAGCAGCTGCTGTTTCAGTTTCTTTCATTGTTGTTCCACCAACAGCAACACTGGGTAATTTACCTAATTTACCTTTGTAAGAAAAGGAAAAAAAAACAAAAGAGAATTTCATAAAATGAAATAAAACTTTTCTTTTCTCTTACCAGCAAGAACTTCATCTAATACTTTAGCTATTTCTTCATCTGTTTCTTCTTCAAGTTCATCATTATCCATAGCAGCATCAACTGCTTCATTCATCATTTCACCCATAATACCCATCTTAAAAGAAAAAAAAATAAATAAATAGATGAAAAATAGTTGTTTTTTTTTTCAAATCAAATATTATACTTTAATGAATTCTTTTGAAAATTGTGTAGTTATCGCTTGAAGTTGTCCTACTTTCATTAATTGAGCCATTGAACGAGCAATTTCATTACTTTTTTGCATTATTCCAGTTATTTTAACATTGGCTAAAAAATTCTTCGAATTGAATCTTTGATTTGTAACAATAAAAACAGTGATGATTTACCTAATTGATTTTTAACAGCATTATCAATTGTATCAAGATTAGCTTTTGCGGAATATAAATGACTTTTATCATGTTTTATTCTTAAATAAAAAAAACAAATCATTCAATTTTTTTTTTGTTAAAATATGAAGTCGAACAAAAAGAAAAGAAACTTACTTAACAATAGCTTTTGCTAGAGTACGAAGAGCGTCTTTATTATTACTAGCTGCATGTTTACGAATATCTATTGAAAGACGTTGAATTTCTCGATCAGATTCTTAAAAAAAAAAAAAGAAATGAGAAAATTTTCTTAAGTAAATATAATAATTACGGTTAATTTGTCGATCTAGTTGACGTTTTTCATGACGAATTTGTTTACTAATCTCACGAGTCTAAAATATTAATTAAAATCAAAAATAATTTTTGTTTTTTTGAATCATTAAATAAACAAACTTGTTCTTTAGCTTTTTCATAAGGAGTTCGTTTATCGAAGAAACTCATCGTGACTAAATAAAAATAAATAAATAATAATAATAATCGAATACAATTCTTCTTCAGGTGTTGAATTTTTTGTTATTTTTATTGGTTATATATAAACAGCTAAATTAATTTTGCAAAAAAACAAAAAAAAAAAATTTTTATAAAATATAAAAGAAAATTTATTTTATTTCAAAATAGTTTTTAAAAATATATATATATATTTATTTTCTAGTGTCTCAGCGTTGATTGTAGCGCTTAATTTTCTAATTTGAATGATCCCATAATATCCTTGTTCGTTCGTTTATTTAATATTTTTCGTATCATATCACATATACATGAAAGATTCATATATTAGAGTTTTACTTTTTAATTAGTCAATTTGATAAATAAATAAAACTAGTTAACGAAGTTTGGTTTAAAGGTCTTTTGAATCATCTTCACTATCTTATCTTTTCATTTATTTGCCACAGAGATTTTTTTCTCTTTTCGTCATTCTCATTTTTATAAACATACGAAAACAAAAAAAGATAACTTTTTTTATTATTTTAGATTGTGCTTTGTCACGTATTGTTCTAAAAATCATAACCATGTTAGACATAATTCAATCATCATTTATTTTTCTTCTATTATTAATTGTTCCAAGTGTTGAAGCAAAAATGTCAGCTGTGGATGTTATTGCACTATTAATTGGACTAGCTATACTTTTATTTGGTTTATGTGCTCTAATTGGTTGCTATGCTCGACGACGTAGTGGATAAAAAATAAAATATTAGGTTTTTATTTCAAATCAAATAATTATGTGTTGGTTCCCGTCTTTCTATTTTTTTAATAACTTAAGACAAAAAAAAATTTTTTTTTTAAATGTTACATCGTGTTTTTTCTTTTTCTTTCATTTTATTTATTTATATTTTTTTTTCTTAATAGACAACAAATGTGAATAAAAATAACTGGTGATTTTTGTATTTGTGATAATTGTAGTATATTATGTCTCTATCACGATCATCAACACGACAAGTACATACTGTTTTGGGTGGTGGTATACGATATGAAACAGTTGAACTTGTTCTATCAGCAATACCTAATTTTGAATTGAAACAAAAAGGACGTATTCTTCATTTGTTTGCAGAGGTAAGGAATTACAAAATCAAATATGAAATAAAATACAATACATTCAATAATGTTGAATTGATTCATAATAAAGTGATTGATGGCAGATCATATAGAGTTTCTCGGTTTTCTTTTCGTATATGTGTTTGTTGAATAAATAACTTTGTTAAACTAAAATGTTTGGAAAGAGGTCGAAAGAATCTTTTGCTAGGAAAGTGTCGGTAAATGTGTGTCAGGGTCTATAAGAGCTGCCGTGAGCGTGAACGACGGAAGGTATCATTTTCTAATCTTGAAAAATTTTCATTTTTCCACAGCAAAGTTTCAGGGTTTTATTCGTATTTTTCTTCATCAGTTCTCATAAAGACCTCTTGACTTCTAGCGATCTTGGGATGTCGGTATGCATTCATACAAGAAATTCAAGAGGCACTCGATGAACGACAAAATAATCTTGATACTTTTTTTGTTCATAATCAAACTAATACATCATTAGCAGAACCATTTGCATTTGAATCACAAATTGATACTGATACATATCCAATTGATCTATCTGCAAGATCAACAGATGAAATATTCCATCCATTAATTGAATCAGATAATAATATGTCAAATGAAACTGTTCCATCATTAGCTGTTCCCAATGAAAAAAATCAGTCTGAAATACATCCTTGTCATCAACAACAATTAAATTGGACATCAGTAAAAGATCCAATAAATATTAAAAAAGAAGCTGTAACACCAGTAAGGCAACGTTCTGCTTTATTTTTTTTTCATTTTTTTTATTTTTTTTTTTTTCTAAATTTATTTTAGCCAAAAACAAAACGACGTCAATCAAAAACTTCATCTAATTCAAAACAAAAAAAATTATCTTCAATACCATCAATGCGTCAAATGACAATGACACAATTATTTGATCCAATGGAATCGCCTAAATCAACCAGAACATCCATTTCGACTTCTATAAAACAAGAACCAGAAACACTTGGCAATGATACAATAATGTATATGCCAGAATCACTTATCGGTTTAGCTCAACCATCGGAATCAATATCTGATAATGAAAATGATCAAGTAAAATTCATTTCTTATTTTTGTTTTTTTAATGCATTTAAAAATTTATCATTACTTCAGCACAATTTATCCGATTTATTGGCATCTATTAAACAAAGTAAAATATCAAATTCACCTTCATTGAAACGTAAATATATTCCTTCACCAATTGTGAATAATTCCATACCTCAACAAACAATAGCAACAACAACAACAACAACAACAACAGATGAAGAAGAAAATATTCAAAATGAAGCTCTTATTGAATCTCCTTATGCTGGTATTGAAAATGAAGAATTACTTTATGCTTGTTCAATGTGTCGTAATTATTGGCTTGGTTTACCTAAAGAACTTCGTCATAAACAAGGTTTAACATGTCGTCATAGACAACGACCAGTTGTTCATACACCAGAACATTTTTGGTCATTAGGTGTTCCTAGTACACAAACTTGTATTGAACGTGGTTATGGTGGTGTTCTTCCACCAGATAAACCAATTGAAAGACCAAGAAGACCAAGACGACAATATCAACGAAGATTACAAGAACGACAACATCAACAACAGAATGATGATAATGATGAAGAAGAATAGAGAATTTATTTATTTTTCTTATTTGTTATTATGTCAGTTTCTTTTCCTTTATTCATTTTTTTTTATTTAATAAAACAAAAACAAAGGATCTTTGTGTGAATAATAGTACATTTTCTATTGTATTCTTTAAGTTCATTGTAAAATATTTCTATTGATGAAAGAATAGGAGTTCAATTGTACTAGAACTAGATAAAGAATGTTACAAATATATTATACCATGAATTAATTCTAAAATAATAAATACTATCGAATGTTTTCAAGCACATGAATTTTAATTACGATGCCATCGATGGTTTCCATTGTACGTAGGATTATCCGTTACTGGGAGGAACTATTAGAATTTATTTAAGCTAGCAGATTTATCCATAGGTCGCTTTAAATGTCGTTATTACTGTCATTCTTAACTAATATCTATTTCAAGCAACAAGCGCATGAATATTTTTGATTAACTTTTGATAGAAACAAACTAGAACATTGTAGTTTTTACCATTGAAAACAGGGAATGAAATCGCATCGAATTGTGTATTATAGGTTCTCTTAAGATGTTTTCTAAAAGTTTTTTGGATTAAACTTATAGAAAAGTGTTGAGACTATGGCATCTTTTAACATTGGAAAAAAAAGCAAAAAATCTGATTTTTTTTCAAAGCAACTACTTAAAACATCGATTGGCAATGTCAAGTAGAAGATCTATGACTCTTAAATGACTAAATCTAATAATCTGATTCTTGCGTCGTTTTGTAGATCTTCGATTAACGATTCGGATGCACACTATGATTGAAAATTCACTACAGTCACATGACAGGACACGCTAGTTTCAAAAAAGTTAATTGAAAAGCTTTAAAAACAGGTCGAAAAAACTTCTAATATACTATTCTCTGCGTCTTGATCTCCAACTTCTAAAGGTGTAAAGTGCAACTGTCTATCATCTTTCTATCAAAATTGATTTTAAAAAAATTGTCATCCACCTTTTTTTAAAAATCGACATTAGGTATATATAATCGATCTTATTGCTCTCGTTTGATGATAAAATATATAGAAAAATCTTGGAATCAACTGATTAATCGACTTTATATCCATTAGTAAAGACTAAGATTAATTTTTATTTTCAAGACACAACATTTTACATATATTATTTATTAAATAAAATTTAATCAATATAAAAAACAAAATCTGTCGAATGCATTCATCCTTCTTTTTTTTAGCTTTGTTTATATTACATATTCATTATGTGTTACTCTACCATTTAAATCATCATCTTCTATTGTATGTAATGATGTATAAGCTCGTAAATTTAGAACAACAGGTAAACTTTCAGCAACAATTGAATGATGTACAATAAATGAATTTAATGTTGAGAAAATTTTTTTTGTTCCCTTGAAATAATTTTTTTTACAAAAATTTAATTTTTAAAAATAATTTAAAAAACAAAACTTACTCTTAAATAATAGCCAACATTATCTTGATCAATTAAATAATGAACAACACATGATCGTTTCATATATTTTGGTACACGAATTGAGAGAACATAAGTATTTGTTGATGTTATAGATGTTGGTCGTCGTACAAGAAAACTACCAATTGAACGACATGATAATGCATCTTCTACAGCTTCTCTAATCAAAATATACTTATTCTTATATATATATTTAGATGATCTATTTTATTTACCTTGTTATATTTTCATGAAGCCATGGTGTATCTTCATCAGGGACACTTGGTGTTAATGGTAATGGAGATGGATTTGGAGCAAAACTAAATGGTACTTTATTTATTTATTTAATAGCCATATTATATTATGATAAGTAATGCTGATATATATATATATATATATGTTTGACATGACCGTGAAATAACTTCTTAGGTAAATTAGATTCTGAAATTTAGGATTGTTATTGTTTGTTTTTTTTTCTATAACTCTTTACTTTTTAACTAGAATTTGTGTTACATGAAAATTTAGTATATCTTATGACATTAGTTATTCATTGTTGATATTCATTGAAGAAATTAATTATGTAATTTCTTACATACCTTTTAAGAACAATTGATGATGGTCTATTAATAGAAATAATTGAATTTTGAATACTTTTAAAATCATCACTTAATGACGAATCTGTTTCTTCATTACTATCTGCTGTTGTTGCTCCTCCTACTATTGTATGTGCAGAACTTTTATCCAAAAAAAAAAAAAAACACAAGCAAAACATTGATTATCCTTTTTCTTTTTGAATACAATAATACATGAAACATACTTGCTCTTCATTCGTTGACTAGTATTGCTGCTAGCAAATGTTCGTCTTATTGTCTCAAACATTGATCTTGTACAATGTATACTTAGGCTATTCTTATCTGGAAATAAGAGAATAACTTAGAACATAAACAATTTACCTTTGGTTGAAGAAGAAGAAAGAGAGAGACAGAGAGAACAACTAAATAAACGTTCTTTATGATGCAATTGACGATGATCAATGTGGTAGACACCAACAAAAACAGAAAAGAAAAGAGAGCGGGAGAGGATAGACGTGTGAGAATAGTTGATTAGGTTATGGTTAAACAACAACAAAAAATGTATTGTTTGATCTTTTTTTTTTTCCATCTTTGCATTATACAAAAATATCAAATAACTGATAGCTATCCATCTTCACTTATAAATGATGATCATTCTGATAAACGATTAGAAATCTATCTTTTACTGACGACTGACCACTATCAACTACATTGAACTGATTGTGTAATCTAACTCTCGAGAAGTCAATGAGTTTTTCTTTTCTCTTTTTCTTCTTCAGATGGCCAATAGTACATATGTGTTATGTCAGTAACTATTCTATGTATTTCGGAAGATGAATACGATTGATATATACTATCAACAATAGATGTGTATGTATATATTATAGGTAAAAGAAGATTGTATCTCATATGACATTCAACTTTATCAAAGACAATTATAACTTACTATTGTTTCATTATTGAGCTTGACTAACTAACTTTACGTCTTATATAGATCAATCTTTTCTCCTCATCTTTCGCTTATAATTACATCATAAACTAGAATCGTGCATAAAGAAATAAAACATTATCTTTTTTGATCTCAAGTATCTCCATTATATGTTTTTCGATCAAATCGAACACATCATGAACTAATCAATTTCTTTTTCTTTTTTTTGCTTGTCCATTACAATCATAAAAAAATGAGATCATATTTTTTTTCTCTTCAAAATTTGTTTCATTCTGTAATGCTTCAAGATAATAAACGCATATAAAATGCACAAAAAAAAAAAAAAAAACGAAAAATATAATTGTAAACTAGAGAACTACACGTGAGAAAAAAAAAAGCAAAGTTATGATATTTTATTTGTAATAAAGAATCAATCGATTTTATTACTCCAAACAAGCCATAGAGCATGAATGCATCCCGGTAGAAAACCAAGAATGGTTAATAAACTAAAAAAAAAAAAAGAATATAAAACAAATATAGTATTTAATAAATTCATCAAGAAATATCAACTTACATATTTAAGAAAAAATGTAAAGTACAACCAACTTGAATTAAAGCAGCAGCCGGCGGAAAAATAATAGCTAAGATTGTTAAAAGACTAAAAAAAAAGAAATTAATTTACATAAGTTAATTATGGATTAAAGTAACATACATAGTTCCAAGTAAACCCATGTTACCAAACGATAAGTAATAATAATAGAAAAGTAATGTATAACAACAACTTTTCTCTTTTTTTTCTTACGAGCACAAGACTATTTTTTTTTCTTTCTCCAACTTAGAATACAAAAAAAAAATATATATATATGCTGATATTGCTATGCTTTTTCTTCCGAAGCTCGCTTTTTTTTTGTCCTGTCGAATCTATAAACGGTACCAGTCCTTGTACTCTATGTATGTGCAGAATTAGTTTTTTTTTCTTCCTCACGTACTATATGTAATCTGGTGCCATACTATAATAAATATATTTTTACATATTATTCTTGATTCTACGTAAATCATACTTGAGACTAAACTATAATACATACGATCTAGTTGATAATGATTAGAAAATATTTTATGATTTGAATTCATTCAATGTATTACAAAATATAATTCTTATTTGAAGGATATACTTTCTATATTTCTATATAAATCATTGTCAAAATTAGAATATGATTAGTAAAAATTTTATATTGTATGCAAGGTCAGAGATAATTATTTATCCAATACATTCTAGAGATATTGATTGACTGTTTATTCAGCTTCGAATACATACCGTTTAATGTTGATGACGTGAAGAAAATATTGATCAGAATTCTATACCCAAACATATACTAAATTATGCATCATTTACTGATGTATTATTGCGTTTTTTGTTCAGTATATATAGAGATCGTTAATCGCAAATATCAATCAGTGAACTTAAAATCTTATCAACAGACTGTTGAAATACAATATCAATTCAATATATCGACACAAAATTTTATCAACTAAATACATAAAATAATGTTCGATTATACATGATGATGATCAAATCGTTTTATTACTTTAAACAATTCATACAAAATGAATAGATTCTAACACGAAACTGAGATAATTGAAAATACTAGGCAAAAACAAAAGCTTATTATTACAGGTCCATCTGGGTTAAGATGTAAAACTCACATGTCTTCTTTAGCTTCACTAATACTATAATAAAAAAAAAAACGTAAAGTGAAGCATTTCTGACAAATAATAATAGCTTTCCATAGATAATCAATTTGTGAGAGAAACGATCTGTCTCTTTTATTTTTACATTTCGAATAGATTTCTTTTTGGTTGGCATACTATTTTTTATTTACCGTGATTTTATTCTCTTGTTATTTATGTTTTCTTTATTTACTATTATTATACTTCTTCTAATCATTGATTTGCTCGACAAAGAAGTCTGCTATACGTATTCATCATTTCTACAATAAGTCTTAACATGCTATTATGTATCTGGATACACTTAGAAATACTGATATTGATTATATCCAAAGGTTAAAAA